GTATGGCTAGATATAGCAAAATTCTTTATTCTGTGGACCATTGAAATAAAGCTTAGTTCACTTGAATGTTTTATCTCAAGTTGCCGAGGCAAGAGAAGAAACGGAGCTAGGGATCAGGATATCGTAAGTGTAGGTCTCTACTCCAGGATACAATAAATCATGAAACAAAGCAAAATAAAAATAAACTGTTATCCAGGCATGGTGGTGCACACCTATAATTTCAGTATTTTGAGAGGTTGAGACAGGAGAATGACAAGATTAAGACGAGCCTGGGAAACTCATCAATTTAGGGAAAAACAGGGCAGGGGATATAGCTCATTTCAAAGTATCTGGGTTCAATTTTAGTATCCTAATTCCCAAATAAACCTAGTTATTTTTCTCATGTATCTGGGTCATTTCCCCTCTGCTTTATGAATGAGAAACATGTCTGCAATCATACCTGCTTTTGGAGTTAGCAGTCTTATATGGCGAACTCTTAAATCCCCGCGGCCAGGGATAATTTGAGAAAGGGCCTGATCTGTTCGATTTTTAAGTGAAAGTGTCACCATTGTTCATGTGATGTGCACATGACAGAGGAATTTAATTCTTGTTCTAGAGAGAGAGGGTGATAGCCACTCTTCTGCCTGATGTGGAAGTTTTCCATACCCGTCGATTTGAGGAGCAGATCAGAAGTTCAGATAGGCTCTCCAAAGGCCCCTCTTGAAACACACAGAATCTCCAAAGATAGGAATCACTCAAAAATCTCCTCTGAGCCTTTGCCATGAACACAGATCTTTTTTTTTTTTTTTTTTTACAAATTTGTGATTTTACCAAGCTGGAAGCTTAAGTACAGAAGCAGAGGTACAAGGCAGGTAGGGTCCAGAGGAGGAGACAGGGATGGGATCCCAGCAGCCGTCTGTGATCCCCGGGCTCTGGCCGCTCTCTGTCACCAACACCACTGCTGGAGGGGCAGAGGCAGGCGCCGAAGGAGAAGGTGTGGGTCTGTGGCCTGGACGTGTACACCCTGAGGAACCCATTTTGTGGCTGCACTGTAAGCTTGTCCCCTGATATATTTCCTTACAGTCTAAAGTTTCTGAGGTCTGAGAGTCTTTCTTACTCAAATCTACCCCTAACATCTCTCCTTTGAAAATCACAAAATAGGACTTTATAAATATTTGGACTGACTTAATTTTAAATGATGTAAATTCTGTTTCTATTATTCCATAGTTATTTTTAACAATTAACATATTTGACCCCAAAGAGTACTTTAATAAAAGAACAATTTGAATTCTGGGGTTGTTTCGTGAGCAATATATGACCCAAGGCAACTTGAAATTTCTACATGTGTGCAGTCAACCTGCTACAGCACAACATATATGCTGTAAAAATAACTGGTTAAGACCCAGGCATGGTGTCACATGACCGTAATCCCAGCACTCGGGAGGCTGAGGCAGGAGGATTGCTGTGAGCCTGGGCTATATAGTGAGTTTCAGGGCAGTCTCAACTACATAGTGAGACCCTGTCTCAAAAAAAAAAAGAAAAACTGGTTAAACAGATAATAAGAAGTTTATATAAGCAAGGGATTTGGGAAAATAGGCCTAAGGAGACATTCACAGATATCACCAACACACCTAGAAATACCTTAAGGATTTAATAAAAATGATAATATCATGGTATACATGTTAAACATTAAGAAATGTATATGTAGCATAATAAACATAGTTCTTAGCCTTGAAATTATTTGTATTTTAGTGGACCTGACTGCTAGGAAGGCTAAGAGTTATTGTGAGGTGATGGAGAGGTTTTGAAAAGGGCAGATGGATATAACCGCAAATTTTGATATTGATGACTCCGTGTGTGTGTGGTGTGCGCATGTACTCACATTTTGAATAGTCCTGTCGGTTTCATTTTTCCACACTTGTGTTTCTTGATAATGAAGGAGTCATAAGCAAATTTAAGATCAGCATCATGCTCCAACTACTTCCCGAAGTCAAAAGAATAACAAATGTATGTTTTCAAACAAATGCTTTGAAGAGTGTGTGTGTGTGTGTGTGTGTGTGTGTGTGTGTGTGCTGCTCCCTTCACCTTGCTATGACAAGTGTATAAATGACACATCTCTGCGTTCTTTTTACAGATTAGCCATAACTACCAAGGTGCTTTTCCTGTGATTTTTATATTATTCTTCTTTGGTGAAGATGTGGCTCTGTTTGGTGTTTGTCAAATGCCTCAGAACATTTTTTCCAACATTTGTGTTTGAGAGAAACTGGAAATACAGTTTGCCAGTTGATTTTCTAACACTCTTAACACACAAGAATTTAATCCTTATGTGTCTAATTAATTTCCCTGCAATTAGCTGAATACAGCTCAGAACTTCCTGGATAAACAAGCATGATACTATGTAAATATTCTTTTATAAAAAGTCAAAATAATTATTCCTGAGATCCTTTACTACATTAAATTTGCCTTCAAACTGAGCATCACATTTCACATGTATTTTGAATGAAGTGTATCTAAATTTTATGAGGTCATTTGTCAATGTCTTGCAAGATCAATTTTGTACAAAATGAAAAAAATAGGAAAACAATTTGAGTACTATGGGGTTGATTAACTGATTGATTCATTGATCCTTTCTTTGCTTATTTCCTTCTCTTGTGACTCACCATCTCATTCTTTCAAGAAACCTTTATTCAAGAAATATCACGCCCATAGTGTTTTCTAGGGGACAACAAGATAGCCTCTTGGTGAGAGATACAGACTAGTAAATGAATTAGTACAGAACATTATGGTGACCAATGTCTTCATCTACTGTGTGCTATTATAACAGAATACCTGAGAGTGAGTTACTTAGATTGAACAGATATTTATTGGTTCACGTTTCTGAGGACTGGGAAGTTAAATATCAATGTTCCAGCATCTAGGAAGTGTATATTTGTGGTGTCCTTACATGCCAGAAGACAAGAAGGGTGAGACTACACTCCCGAGAGGCCTTTTATTTTTTTTTAATTTTTTTCAGCTTTAATTGAGTTTATTGGTACATTTTAGGGATACAGTACAGTTACATTCATTGTTGGGATCTTGTACCTCTACATGACAAGTCTTGATTCTCATTTTTTCCCCTTTTCCCTGTCCTCCCTTCACCCCCTCCTCCCCTCCCCATCTACAAACACTTTATTTCCATCTTTTCATTCTCTCACATTTTTTTCTTTTCCCATTTTACTCTTCCCCTACCCATCCCACCTTCCCTACACCTTTAGCTCCTTTCTTCACATTTCTAAATGTTAATAATCTTATTAGAATCTTATGCATTGTTGCAGATTATTCACACCAGGGAAATTATTCGGTATTTACACATGTGTGACTTATTTATTTCACTTAGGAGTATATCTTCAATATGTATCCATTTTCCTATGAATGCATCTATTTTCTTGTTCTTTATGGCTGAGTAATATTCCATTTTATAGAAAAACCACATCTTCTTTATCCAGTTTCCAATGGATGGGCAAATGGGCTGTTTCCAATATTTAGCTATTACAGACTGTGCCGCTATAAATATGGGTGCACATATTTCTCTGTGATATGATTCTTTTAGTTCTTTTGGAAAGATACCCAGCAGAGGGATGGCTGAACAAATCCTCAGTAGCACGGGAACTAGCAGATAGAATCAACAACTGGAATCTCATCTTACTAAAAAGCTTCTGTACTTCAAAAGAAACCATCAGCATAACTAAGAGACAATCTATAATGTGGGAAAAAATTTTTACCAGCTGTTCCTCAGACAAAGGACTATTATCAAGGATGTATAAAGAACTCAAAACAATCACTCCCCCCAAATATAAAGACCCAATTCAAAAATGGGCATCTGAAATGAACAGACATTTCTCACAAAGAAGTTACACTGAGATTCCACCTCACCCCACAAAGAATGGCTGCTATCAAGAAATCACACAATAACAAATGTTGGCGGGGTTGTGGGGAGAAAGGAACCCTTCTCCATTGTTGGTGGGCATGCAGACTGGTGCAACCACTATGGAAATCAATATGGAGATACCTCAAAGAGTTTGGACTGGAGGTTCCATTTGACCCGAGAGGCCTTTTATTAAGCGCTCCATCAGCCTATGATGGTGTAGCTCTCCGGGCTTAACCACCTCTTCAATATCTGACCTCTTAGTACTGTTACAGTGGAGTTAGATCTTCAACATGAGGTCTGGAGAGTGTGAAAATTCCAATTAAACACCAGTATGCTGAGAGTGAAGTCCATGCTCTACAAGAACCGATTGGTCCCAACATTAATGCCAACCTGGAGAAACATAACTGTGTTGTCAAGACCACCTCTTTGCCTGTGGTTCTGCCCTGTCTCACATTAAGACATTATCAGATAAGGTTTAGAAGGTATATTTGTCACATTTAAGCACAGCTGAAAGTGTAGCTACTGAGGTGACTGTCATATTTGAGATTGTTCAAAATCTGAGACTATTATCGTTTCCTTCATGGACTATAAATGAGCTATTAGAATAAGTAACATATTTTCCAGTGATTTTTCACACAACCAAGAATAAATTAGTCAAAATTATCCTCTTCTTCTACATATAATTATTCAGGGGTCTTCGTGACAGAAGATGGGAGAGAGTTAAACAAGGTTCCCCTCTTCAGTGGCCTCCCTTCTTCTAGAATTAACACAATAGCCATGATTTAAGGCCTTGCATAAATTGCCATTTAAAGGCATGGATGGTAGCTGAATATACGAGTCTCATAAAAGTTGAGAATTATGGCTATGCCAGTTTCTATCGTTGTGACATTGGACAAACTCCTGGACTCCTCTTCTCTCCTTCTGTGAAAAGAAGTTTTTCTTGTCCACTGGGGCTGTTGTAAGAGGTAGATGCAGGATATAAGAAAAAAGTACTATAAACTTTAGAGCAAGTGCTTAAAAAATGATGGTAAATAACATCATGTTATCTCTCTTTATGGAAAGGCTTGGCTAACAGATTCTGCCTTCTCTTTCTGTCTCCTTCCTAACACTGTAGACAACTGTGATGATCCACTGGCATCACTGCTGTCTCCGATGGCTTTCTGCAGCTCCTCAGACCTCACTGGTACTCCCAGCCCCGCTCAGCTCCACTGGAGAGTTGGTAAGTAGAGTGATCAAACTTCAACAGACAAGTACAAGATAAGGACACGGTGAATCCTTGGGAAGAGTTTTTTCCATCTGCTGGGATCCTGTCCAAAGGTAGAGTTCAGGAAAAGACATGGGAGGAGATGGGTAGAGTGTAATGTAACCATACATCTAAACACATGACGATCACTCACATATCTGACCGGTGTTCCTCCAAATGCAGAATTCATTTGGATTTATCACAAGAGGCCTTTGTGAACATCGCTATTTAAAATGCATTCTATGTATTTTCACATTTCGTGTACACAGCATCAATAGTATCAGAAGGATATTATTATGGTTTGTTTATAAAAGATAAAGTTCATTAAAGTTTTTCAATAACCTTAAAGTAACTACAACATTAATATTGCTGTTTAAAAACAAACTGAGGCTGGAGGTTTAGCTCAGTGGTTCCACTGCCTGCCTCACAAACACAAGGACCCAAGTTCAATCCCCAGTACAAAAAAAAAAAGAAAGAAAGAAAGAAAGAAATAAAAATAAAAACAAACTGAAGCACACAATTAATAAAAGCAAGATTATAAATCATCTACAATCTTACTGACTACACACACCTGGAGTTAAAAGCTTAGTATCTCTACAATATGTGAAAATTGGTGTATATACTCTCAGTGTTCCATTTTAACAAATGGATTCTCTACTATGACTGAAAGAGGGGTACAGTACAAAAGCAGAGAGCCTTAGAAACTAAGCAACCAGCATTCAAATGCTGGCTACAACACTGCCAGGCTCTGTGAGTTTCTGTAAGTCACTTAGCTTCCCCTGTCTTCGTTTTTTATCATTGAAGTAGTGCTGCACGCTCACCTGGCCGTGTTATTTGCAGAGAGAGACAGTGGTATTTGCAGTGAGCAGACAGAGTCGCAGAGTTAAGGTGCCGGGCCTACAGCTCATGCTCTGGCACAGCACCCATGCTGCAGACAGTCTCCCCACCGTTCACCGGAGCCCTGCCCTGTCCTCTTGGGAAAGTGGGCTCAGGCTCCAGGGTTCTCATTTCAGGGCTGCACACTTGAGTTACTGGAGAGCTTCATGGGAGCACCGCCTGAGCCCTTCTGCCACATGTTCTCAATCATATGGGTTGAAACTTAATAAGGATATGGATCAAGTGAATAAATAAAAGCTTTCTGGGTGATTTGAAAATGCAAGAAGAGTTGGAAACCACAAAATTGGATGAATTCTTGAATAGCATATCCTTCTGTGACTATTCACTGAGCACCTGCTATGTGGTAGGCACCATGCCAGATCCCTGACACGCAAAGGACAAGCATAGGTCCACTCTTTATAAGGAGCACACAGAAATAGTGCAGATTGCTTTAAAGTCCAATTTGTGATAGTAGTTAAGGACTAGCACTGTTTATTAGTGCTAATATTGATATAATTACTTTGCTTTGTATGGATACTACCTGTGGCCATACATATAAGTGTGTGTAAAAAGTGAACCATACATATATTTCAGAGTACAGAATAGGACATATCTATATATAGAAAGAGATTTAAGTATATACAAGCAGTTGAATAGCTAGAGAGCAAGAGTCACATTAGAGGGTGGATATACATATATAGAATGAATCTTCTACACACATATATTATACACAGTAATATATATATATATATGTATATATGAACAGTAATAACTTGTTTGTGAACAACTTAGTTAAAAAACAGAAGCATTCAGCAACATTTTGTTTCCATTTTTAAACTCCGCATTGGGTGACAAACACAAGTACAGCCATCTTCCCCACACAAACACAAACACAGCCAACTTCCCCCAAGTCATAACAAAATTAAGCACGTAAACTGAGGTACCACTCTATATAATACATGCATGTACATAATATATATATATTTTTTCCCTCAATATCTCAGTATCCATGGGGTATATATTTGTGCATATTTTTCTATTACCCCTATGAGTACCTGAACACATAGGTGCACAAGTCCCTTTTGTCAAATGATACAGCGCTCTCTATAGCCTATATACTTTGTCTCATCTATGTTAAACCTCCTCTGGGTTGTTTATGCTACCTACTACAGTGTAAATGTCATCTAAATAAATAGTGGTTGTAATACATTCTTTAGGGAATCATAAATGATAAGGGGAAAAGTTTGTATGTGTTCAGTTCATAAGCAAAGTTTTAAAATATTTTCTATCTTTATTTGATTGAGTATACAGATGTAGTACCTGAAAATACAAAGGTTGTACCATGTATGTATATGTGAGGGATAAAGTAAGTTATAGTGTTTATAAAACATGTAAGCTGTATAAAGATATAGAACATATACATCATTGACAATACGGATATTATAATAAAACATAAAAATAATTCTGTTAATTTTAGTTATAAATTTTGTCATATGTCTGGATAGGCAAATGAAAAATTAGTAAATCAAAGAGAAAAACTATAGCTTTAACTGATAGGGAAAATATGAGTAGAGCCTCTGTTATTTTTGTCCTTCTCAAATCATACTGATGTCCTGTCTGCCGCTGTCAGGACCTTCAAGTAATTACAACCCTGAACACTCATTTTCTATGTGGATTCCTTAAATCTTCCCTTTCATTTCATGAAAGACATCAAATGTATCCTGAAGAGCAAGTTGTGCCCCCGTGTATGAAATCTAATGTATGTGTAGGTATCTGTGGAGACATTAGAGAGTGTTTCCCCTAAGGGAAGGGATTGTGTGTCTAGAAATTCCCACTCATCATCTTATGTTACCAGAATAAAACCAAAAATTATGACAACCATGCATAGGAGCTCACCATAAACCATCACTGCTCCAAGCCCTCACGTGCATCAGTTTGATCTTCCCTATAGGTATTATTATTAGCTTTGTTTCAAGAGTGATAAATGTTATACAGAGAGTGGCTGCTGCCATGCCAAACTGTAACCCAGAAAGCCTGACTTCCACACCCATGATGCTACCCACGGCCTCCAGACACTGTCCTGCCCATAAGGTGAAAATAACTTCAGGATTTTATTTTTATTCTTATTTATTTACTTATTTATCTTTTTTGTTTGTTTGTTTGAGACAGGGTCTCACTATGTAGTTGAGAGACTGACCTGGAACTCACTGTGTAGCCCAGGCTGGTCTCAAACTCACAGCGATCCTCCTGTCTCAGCCTCCCGAGTGCTGGGATTACAGGCGCGCCACCATTCCATCACTGCTCCAAGCCCTCACGTGCATCAGTTTGATCTTCCCTATAGGTATTATTATTAGCTTTGTTTCAAGAGTGATAAATGTTATACAGAGAGTGGCTGCTGCCATGCCAAACTGTAACCCAGAAAGCCTGACTTCCACACCCATGATGCTACCCACGGCCTCCAGACACTGTCCTGCCCATAAGGTGAAAATAACTTCAGGATTTTATTTTTATTCTTATTTATTTACTTATTTATCTTTTTTGTTTGTTTGTTTGAGACAGGGTCTCACTATGTAGTTGAGAGACTGACCTGGAACTCACTGTGTAGCCCAGGCTGGTCTCAAACTCACAGCGATCCTCCTGTCTCAGCCTCCCGAGTGCTGGGATTACAGGCTTGCGCCACCATGCCCAGTTTAACTTCAGTATTTTAGACAAGGACATCTCTGAGTTGTTTTTATTAGTTCGCCCTCCCATGGTGTTATTGGAGTATAGTAGACAAAACTATATATTTAAGGTAGACAGTGTGATGATTTGATATGCATATACTATACATTGTGAAATGATTATCACAGACAGTTTAGTTTAATACATCTATTATCTCCCAAGGTTACCTTCATGTGTACTAGGGTATGAAAACATCAGAATAAATTTCAAGTATATAACACATAGTATTAACTATATTCATGCTGTACTATCAGATCCTCACACATGGTCACACACACAACTGTCTGTTCTAAATTTTATTTACAATCTTAAAAGTTCAGAAATCAAGAAGCATATTCACTTTCTTTATTCCCAGGAATTAGTTTGAAATTAGTGGGCAGGAAATACTTGAACAAGTATATTTTTTTGCTTTTTTATCCGTGCATGTTTATAATGCATAGATTACATTTACTGCAGGGAATTGGTGCATTTATACAACATGTCTTAATTCTTTTTCATTCCCTACACCTCCTGCCCCTTCTCCCTCCCTCCATCTCGTTCCCCTTCCTATTTGAAAAAAATCTCCCTACTTCCTATTATCTAACATTTGTCTTTCTTTGCATTTATATTTTGGACTTCCTATAACCATGAAATATTTAAATTTGTATGTCTGATTTATTTCCTGCAATATTATGCTGTTAAGGTGCATCCATTTGCCTATGAATGCCTCAAGTTTATCATTTTTATGGTGGAATAGCACTTCCATTTGTATAAATACTACATTTTCCTTATCCATTCACTGATTGATTTTTGCAACACAGCTACTTTAAAATTTACTGTTACAAACTTGGGTATTCATAGGTCCTTTTCACGATGTAGCTATTTTAAGTTTTGCTGCTCTAAACATGAGTATTCGTGTATCAGTGTGTGTTCAACTTCTTCAGAAAGATACCTAGAAGGAGACTACCTGAGTCAAATGGAATTTCTAGTTTTGGATTTTGAGAAATCTCCATCTGGCTTTTCACAGTGGATGTAATAGTTTAAACTCCCACCAACAATGTAGAAAGGTTCCTATACAATTTTAAATTTGTTAAAGTCATAGCTCTCATACAAATATAGAATGAGCATATCAAAAAGTTACTCAACTCTAATAAAGAAAATGGTAAAGGTGGTTCAAGGGGTGTTTTGAAGCCCTGTGTATTCACAGGCATTTGAAGGGAAAGAAAAGACTATTAGAATTACATTATTAAGTGGATACAAAACTACTTAATGCCTGTATTAATCATGTTTTTTAGAAAAATAGAACAAATCATTCACACACACATACACACACACACACACACATAGCTGTGCAAGAGGAGATTTAATATGAAAAAGGCTCATGTGATTGTGGAAACTAG